TAGGTCTTGCTCGGTCCACTAGGTTTGAAATCCTGCTCGCGTGCTCGGAATCTAAGAACTAAACTCCTTTTTACTGAAAACCTTTATCTTTTTTACAGAGCTTAGATCTGTGTAAAGAACAGCTACGCATTAAGGAATCATTCAGTTTCAGACAAAAAAAACCTAATTTTATTCATCTGAACTAAAATGGAACTTTTCGCATACTCTCACTTCAATTTTCTACAAATTAGCCTTTTTATTTCCATAGCGTGCCGGCTAGCTGACCACTAAATGGTGCATCATTGAAGAAAATACTTGGCAAAAGCTGTCGGCTAAACAAATCGAGGGCACAGTATCAATCAGCATCTGTTCGAGATATCCAACGTCTGCCCCCATACTTTTTCCAATGTACCGTTTTATGTTTTAGCCTTTTCCACCTTTTTGGTCAAAATTGTACATTCCGAAAAAACTTCTTCCACCCCCTCCCCTCACCCCGCACCCCGCTCCCCCTTTTTTTTCATTTTCTCCATGGCTGGATAAATTTAAAGCTTTCGATTGGATTTTTGCTGCCTTTTTGTCTGAATGATCCTGACATTTGTGGGAGCAGAAAGACTTCATTGAGTAGTTGCCGGTACAGGGATCAGCAATTGCGTTTTCTAAAAAATTTTTACGAATTGCACATCAGAAATAGATATGAATGAATAAAAGTAAATTTAAAAAAAAACACATATGGAAAAATTGCGATATAGATAGGAAGAAATAAAAACCATTTATGTAAACATGTGTGCATATGTATATTTATATATACCACGCAACTTACGATAAATTGCATTGAAACAGGCAAAAAATTGATAATAAATAGAGTGAAGGAAGACGTAAGCGTAGTCAGTGCATAGACAACCATCATCACAATCAACGAATTAGTGATGTGCACTTGGCGCTTGTAATGTGCTGCATCCTGGTTCGCTGCAGTTCATTTCATTTTCATCAAATTTAGAATGAATTTAACGTCACAGACGCTTTCAATAACCAAAAGTGTTATTCATCCTCAGTGAGAGGAGGAGGCAGTTGGCAAGGAATCCGAGTAATGGCAAATACCAACAACATCCAGTTGCTGACAAGTCTATCGATGGCTTTCTCTTTCGAGGATTGCTTATAACCGAGCGAATGGCCGGTATGACTCCCTAGCGTATGCCAGTACCAATTTACTGTCGAAAAAAAAATGAAGGAATCTTGGAGAAATTTACTGATTTATTTGCGAATTTGAATCCTCAACCTGTTGAACTATAACAGTGCTAGTTTCCACTGCGCCGTGCAAGCCGGCACTTGTAATAATATTTGATACAAAAAGCCATACTTTTTCAACATCTGCACGGGAAATTACGGAGACATGGATGCTTCAGCGTATTTACTTCTAGCTTATTGGCCTTTATGGCGAAGCGTAAAAATGACAAAGTGGTGGTGGCAGTGTTTTTTATTCCCAGATTTCTTTTCACTGCAAGGAAGGATCATTATGAACAGATCCTTTTTTAAAAGATGCAGATCCGGGGAACTAAACTGTTTATTTTCACTATCTCCAGTTCCTTCGAACTATAATGCTTTACCCGTGCTCCGATGGCCTCCATGTCCCAAACATAGCATTTGGAGCCCGTATCGTTGCATGAACATCACCATACACATTTTCCTTACGGTATCTTGGGCTGCTACCACGGCTAGCAGCAGTAAATAGTGTCATTAGAATATAAGGCTATTACTATAAGCAGTATACACTATCCTCATTTTTGCCGGGTTTTGCTCTTGTTCGCGACAAAACGATATTCAGTACTACCAGTACTCTAACCACAGCAAGCTGCAATTTTATTTTCGGATTCGACCTGCTCATTGCTTATTTTATTGTTGCGTAAAATTAACTTACGTCGCAACCGCTGCATCAAAAGCGGTCCAGCTGTAGTGCCAGTTTCTGTCTTAGATAAAGTATTAATATTTCGTATACCGTATAGATTCAGTTTTAAATATTTCCAATTTACTTCACTATAAGCTAACATCTATGTTTGGAATGGCGCTCATAATTCTGCCTGGCATTCAAAACTCTATTAATAAGCATCTAGCATCTGATAACAAAAAAAATATGAACGAAATTCTAAATAGTAATTTGTTAAATTATAAACTTTTGTCAATTTTTGTGTTTTATATCTAATATTATTATAATTTCCATTTAATTTTTTAACGAATAAGAAGATTAGAGCCGTTTCGCAAAAGCATTTTTTCCAAGCTAGAAAAACTGCTGAAAATCTTACTTGTACGCTTTTTCCTTCTAGCGGCATGTATGGTAAAATAAGTAATAATGTTTAGAATGATAACAAGTCCAGCAATGCTAGCATAACCGTAACTCCAAGCTTTCATCAACGACTCGCTGTAGCCCATTGGCGGATTGCAGAGCTGGATAAGCTAAAAAACAAACTAAGCAAAATTCCAAACGAACTGTAATGATCATTTTGCTGGCTTCTTGATTGATCCCTACTAATTTTGGGTCTCCAGCATCATGCTGTTGGTTTAAACGCGTACAGGCAGCGACAAGGAACGGTTATGATACAATACATTTTGAAATTTTTCAGCTCCCTACCTGCCTTCAAACTGCCGATTTTCACGTCTAAATTTCCATATGTTTATATATTGCGAAACAACCACACATGGGGATTGAATTTAAACTTCGGAGTTGCACATGAGCAGGAAACATTTTCTCAAAATTTCAGCTTCCTAGCTTTTCTGATTGCTGAGCCGAAAGATTCAAAGAAAAATTACACACACACACACACACACACTTACATACAAGCCCACAGGCGCTTTTGGCAGGTTTATGAGTTTGGGGTCATTCTTTCAGGGTAAAAATATTAATATCGAAAATATGACAAATATACGGATTACCTCGTCATCAGCGAAGATAAAACCAAGAACTACAAATGGTGTGGAATAGATAAAACCAATTATCAATGTTAGATAAATATAGCGCTTGCTTTGCATCGTCCTGTACCTAAATAGTGAACAAGGCACTAAATTCGTTTTGTTTTTATGTCTTTTTTTGTCTGTAGAAAGCAGAAGTAGCCGCCAGTACACAACTTAATATTATCTCTACAATTCGTTCATTAGTGTAAATAGTAAATTTAGTTTCGGCGAATGTCAGGGAGTTGATTTGCTTTCGAAAACTTTCTCAAAAAAAAAAGAACCGCTTACTATGTGTGTATTACTTTTATAGTATTTGTACTGCGTGCATTGTATACTCAGCATCTGTGCCTCAAGGTTATCATTATTTGTATTATGCGTATATCCACCATTTCCGAACAACATGTATGCTGAATTTTCCGTGGGGCTACACTGTAAGCTCCGTCAAGTTCAAGAGATTAATTAAGGGGAACTCTCATGCGCTGCGGAGAACTTTTATAGGAATTATCGTTTTCACCGAGCGCATAAAAATACCGATGTGATGGTGGCTTCGATTTGGAAAAACATCTGGTGTTGCAGTATATGTTGATAATTAGAGCTTACTTTATAGGTGACGAAACAGCAATGAGACGGTCAATAGCTAAAGAAAGCATTGCTATGCATGCCATACTGAACGAGAAGCCGTACAGGAAAATTGTATTGTAACACGCTGTACGTGTCATCTTGGAATTGCCAGTCAGTATTTCAATTGCATTTTTCATTTCGAATAATTGACTGATCTGCAATGATTTTATAGCTTAGCTGATTCACTGATTTTATACCTTCATAAGTGTCACCAGTGTTATGGATGGGAATCTCTTTTACGAATAAGAATGGATCGGGAAGTGAAAACGAGTTTGGATCGGGAAGCTTTTTTTTTTGACCGGCAATTGTAGAAGAGAAGCTAAATATAACTGCGCAGAAAATTAGATTACGATAATTCATAATAACTAGTCTAAATAGTTTAAATATAATCTAATGAATTGTATGTTTGCCCTTATTTATGAGCAAATGATAAAAACTCACAAAATTTAAGTAGGCAAGAATTCCAACCAATATACCATTGCGATGTTGCAGCTGCTTGTATCTCCACGTAACAAACATCAATTGCAAATTTCCAAACATACCAAATATCAGTAGCGGTAGCATCAAAATCCCCACCACCACTAGATTTTCCATTTTTCGTAGCTGCTTATAATAAGTACATTCGAAAAAAGCTTTTCAATGATAGCAAGACGACACTGTGTCCCAAAAATACATTATCAAAGTGGTAAGCTCATAATAAATATAACCTGGAAATTTTATGTGAATAAAAACAATTTTTTCCAAACAATACTTCCCGGAAAAGAAGTGATTAAAGTCAAGTAAAAGAAATTTTTAAAGTCTGCGTATTTTTTTCAATTTGCGCTTTTTCTGAGTTTTCATGATAGCCAATTATTTGCATGTTTTTTTTAAACTGGAGCTTTCCCAGAGAGCTAAAGTTTTTGCAGAAATTTCTGCAAAATTGAATTTTTGAAATTTTATGTTCCGAAACTGCACAGCATAACTTTACTATTTTGTAGAAATTTTATGTCCCTGCACTGACACTGTGCTTCAGACGATGCCATGAAAAACTGAATCTTGGCCCGAAATGAGACCGAAATCGAAATAAGACCAAAAACTTCACATTTGGAATATTTGACGAGTTTATCAGTTAATCAAATAGTAGGATATATGCCAGCACTTGCTCCTATGTTGTAGCTCACAAATGTATGAAACAGTTATCAGTAATCAGTGAAGAAGCAGTCTGTTCGAGATGGTTCAGTTGTTTGGCCTGTTTTGTAGGTACCATTGAACCAGATGATAAGAATTCATTTTGGGACTGTTTCACGTATTTCACCCGATTTCACGTATTTTTTATGTAAGTGATGCATAACTGAACAAAAGCCACTGCAATTTTTGC